AGAATACCTTCTTCATCAGGCTCAATTCTCTTCTCACATGCACTTCATGAGAGCAAACTCACCAACTTCACAGAAAAGACTGACAGCTAATCTAAGGAAATAATCAGACATTATAGTCTATTTATGAGTAAAATTGTCATCAGCTCATAAATAATATAGATAGCTGAAGGAACAGTTGGTGAGTTTGAACTGCCATTAGGCTATCATGACAATGCTCAACACACACATATACATCCACTTAAGGAATATTATGTAGCCCTGAAGAACACGTTTCAAAGACCATTTAAAAGTATGGGAAAATTCACATGAAAAAATAATGAAAAAGAACATAAAACCAATTTTGTAAAATCGTGAAATGCATGTGTAGATGGAAAAGAGCTACCTACTTTACAAAAAATAAACTAGCCAAAACTTGGAAATAAGACAAAAGGCTGACTGCATTTCCTTTTATGCCTAATGTTCTCTACTTTGCTGGCAAGCCAACCCACAGTCAAATCCTACTCAGCCATTCTGTAGGACAGAACAGAATTGCCCATAGGGTTTTCAAGATGGTAAGTCTTCATGGAAGCTGGCTGCCTCACCATCATTCTCCCTCTGAACAGCTGCTGGATTTGAAGAACTGTCATTTCTGGCTAGCAGCCAAATTGCTTTATCCACATCATCACCAGCACACCTCACAATTATACCAGAGCAAAGATAATAAGTCTACTCAGGGATCATCTATTTATTACTGACCGGGGCCCAGACTCTATAAAGTTAGATATTACAGAAAATTCACCAGATGTCATTATAACTTTTGTCAAACAGAAATGTAATTTCTGTCCAACAGAAATGATAAGCCAAAGAGTTATACTTTTACTTATTTACAGAACATGAGCTCATTTCCTTTCTAATCTAATAATCTTACTACAGCACATTTTCTTTTTCTATCACTATCTCTTGTCCTCTTTCGAACTGATCTGTCATTCTACTGGTTCCTCTGATACTGCATTAATAAAAAAATTGACCTGTGATCACTATTTGTCTGAGAATTACACATTAACATTTTAAAAATTACCCAGGAGGAATAAAGGATAAGGGAACTTCCAACCCAAAGATTTTTGATTAGAGGAGTCAATATAGTTTGTGTCTATATCCATCACAAAACACTGGGAGGCTTCCAGATACTTCCTTCCACCACAGAAATTAAGTTCCAAATACATCTTCCCACAGAATTCCACCCTGGTCTTCTTCTGTATTGTCCCTACATGGTGTGACTTCCAGTATTTTCTTTGCTTTAATAGACAGTGGTTACATAGCTTTTGTTTTAGACTTTGGGTACCCACAAGAACAGGAAGGAAAAGAAGACAAATTGTTCAGTTCAACATAAGATTAAACCAATGCCTCACTGTTCTCATCTCATGAATAGCTCTTGCCATAGATTCTCTCCCCTAGGCCTCTCCAATATCTAAAATGATAGAAAAATCTAATTCTAAAGAATTCAAAGAACTCTAGTCTAGTCTCAGGAAGCTCTGATGGAGTAGTCTGTAGAACGTTTTGTTGCTAATCGAAAGGCTGCATCAGCTCTAGCAGTTAAAATCCAGCAGTTTCTGCTTGGGAGAAAGATGAGCAGTCTTCTGCTATTACCACTGAAAATCCAATGTAGGGTCACAATGAGTAGGAACCAAATCAACAGTGGTGAGTTCGAGGGCTTTTTAGGGTTGTTTTTTTCATTCTAGATCCAAACAGTTGACGATCTTTGTTAATACCAATATGAAGGCAGTTTTGGTGCTTCCTCAAAAAGCTGAATATAGATATTCCATAGGACCCAGCTATTCTACTACTTGGAATATTGTTGTTGTTGTTATGTGCCGTCGAGTCACCTGCGACTCATAGCGACCCTATGTACAACAGCCCTAAACTCCGCTCTGTCCTGTGCCAGTCGCACTGTCTCTGACACTCCCATCTCAATTATCCCAGTCACTGAATCAATCCACCTCATAGAGGGCCTTCCTCTCCTGCGCTGTCCCTCCACCCTCCCAAGCATGATGTCCCTCTCCAAGGACCGGTCTCTCCTCACAACATGTCCAAAGTATGTTAGACGGAGCCTCAGAATCCTTGCCTCCAAGGAGCCACCTGGTTTAACCCTTTCCAGGACAAATCTGTTTGTTTTCCTAGCAGTCCATGGTATTCTCAATACTCTTCTCCAGCACCACAGCTCAAAGGCATCAATTCTCCTTCTATCCTCCCCGGTCATTGTCCAACTCTCTGATGCATAACAAGTGATTGCGAAGACCATAGCCTGTATCAGATGCACCTTCGTCTCCAGAGAGATACCATTGCTCTTCAGTACTTTGGAGAGGTCCCTAACAGCAGACTTTCCCATGGCAATGCACCTTTTAATTTCCTGGCTGCTGGTGCCAAGACGGTTGACTACAGAGCCAAGCAAACTAAAGCTGTGTACAATCTCAATCTCTTCACCATCCATCCTGATGCTGCCAATTGGTCCAGTGGTGAGAATCTTTGTCTTCTTGACATTGAGCCTCAATCCATATTGTAGGCTGCAGTCCTTGACCCTCTGCAGCAGGTGCTTCAGGTCCTCTTCAGTTTCAGCAAGCAGGGTTGTGTCATCTGCATAACGCAGATTGTTGATAAATCATCCACCAATCTTGACCCCACATTTCTCCTCATAGAGCCCAGCCTCCCGGATAATCTGTTCTGCGTATAGGTTGAAAAGGTATGGAGAATAGGATGCATCCCTGGCGTACGCCCTTCCCAGTTTTGAACCATGCAGTGTTCCCTTGCTCTGTTCTGACGACTGCCTCCTGGTCCAAGTATAAGTTTCACATTAGAATGATCAAGTGTTCTGGGATTCCCATTCTTCTCAAGAGTCAGCCATAGTTTGTTATGATCTACACAGTCAAATGCCTTTGCATAGTCAATGAAACACAGACATTCCTCTGGTATTCCCTGCTTTCAGCCAAGATCCATCTAACATGAGAAAATGAGAACTGAGGCACAAACTGAGATTTGTATACCAATGTTCATAGCAGCATTATTCACCATCACAAGAACATGGAAACAGCCCAAATGTCCAACCACAAATGAATGGATTGAGAAATTATGGTACATTCACAATGGAATACTACGCAGCATGCAGGAGCAATAACTTTGTAAATTATTACCTAACTTGGGAGGGACTGGAGAACATTATGCTGAGTGAACTAACACAGTCCCACAAGGATAAATATTGTATAAGACTGTTATTGTAGGAGTATAAGGATCTAGGAGGGGTGAGAGAGGCTGGAAGCAGAGGGATGTAGATGTACAGGGGGAAGAAGGGATTAATCATTGGATTGTACAATTTGATGGGTGGGGGGGTGAAGGAAGTGGAAAGATTTGTTCGAATTTGTATTAGAATTTTGTAAATAAACTAGTGGGGGAGAAAGCATGGGGAGGGGGAAGGGAGGGAGAGAGGGTAAAATGTGCAACAATGAATGAATGAAAATCTAACTTTTCTATAAACTTGTTAAAATGACAATTGAAATAAAAAATTTATTTAAAAAAGTTGGGTTAAAAAAATTGTTCTTCTATTTAATAGAAACTGAAATTAGAAAGAGATTCGGCTCTCCTACCACCTCGGCAGCTATAGACCTCAAGAACTGTATCACAGTCTCTCTGCAGGTCACCTTATGATACTGATGCCAAAATGGCACCAATAAGGACCCTGTACATAAGCCCTTATGTGAAAACCATAAAGGAGTCAACATGAAAGAAATAGGGAACCTCCGGATATGGAGGGACCTTTTTCTTGTTTCCAGGACTGTAAATCAGACATTTTGAGGATGATGACAGATTGTTAAGATTTCAATAAGTTGTACACTGGGTCTCTCTTAGCTGAAATCAACCTGACAGCATCTAACAATAAGGAGTGGGAATAAAAAGGTTAATCAAGATCCCTGCTATACAGGAAGAAAAAAAGATTGTGGGAGTACTGAGCTTGGGTGTAATGCCATGAGCAAACTTCATAATCTTAGAGTATAAAGATTATGCTTCAGATTTTGCTAAGCAGCACTTAATTATTGGTACTGGAAGCAGGAGTGGCATCCACTTCCTAAATAACATGCCTCTGGAAACTGTATGAACTTTGATAAATGTCGATAGTTGTAGAGGGGCTTCAGACTTCATAGAGTTCATAGGGTCACCATGAGTCATGCTCGACTCAAAGGCAGTCAACACAACAATATTGTAAAGCTATGCAGTAAAAAAGAATGAGAGCAGTGAAGAAATTGTATAGCTCTATTATATAATACAATATAATAAGGAGCTTACAAAGTTTGCACAGAATGTAATATTAAATACAAATTAAAACTGCCATCTGAATACAAATCAATGAATGAATGTGACAATCACAAAAAATAAGTGTCTTTCACTAAGTGCTATAGTGAAACACAAGCCTACAGTGACACATGTAGTTAAAATACAGCCTAGAAAACAAAGGTAAGGATAAAGTTTACTGTTTGTGCACTGGAAAGCCTTGCAATACTAAAACAAATTTTATTTGGTTTGAGCAATTATCAACTGAGTCACACACCTCAAATTAGGACTTCTTAATTCAATCCAATAACCTTTCAATCATTTTATTCTATTACTTATATAAATACTATTTGTTCCTGGGTTGTCATGCAGATACTATAGACTTAACAACAGTCTTAAGTAAAGCATTAACTCAAACTCATTGCCAGGACCAACTCACAGCTGAACCTCCAACAGATTTTTGGAGACTAAATTGCATGGAAGGAGACTACCCATCTTTCTCCTAAGGAGCCAGTGTGGATTTGAACTCTCAGAAAAGCCTTGTCTTTGGGTTTAAATCCACTACAACAAAAAGGCGGTTAATCTCTTCGCATGCAATTAGTACCCCTAAGAAAGTCAGCTATGAGTTGGTTCACATTCCATGACAATGAGTTAGATGAAGTATTACATTGGACTGTAAGTAAAATTTGCTCTGTAAAGATTACCTGTTCTTCCCCAAAAGAAGGACACGGAGGGATCTCAGAGTAGAAAGCCCACTGATTTCTTCAATTTGGTTATCATATAAATCCAAGAATATTAGCCTCTGCAGGTTAGAAATATTTTGGATCCGAGTTATAAAATTGTGCTGAAAGTTCAACAAACGAAGGTGCTCTTCCCCATCGATAATAGGACATACTGTCAGCTTTTGCCTAGGAAAAAAGATTTAAAAATTGTTAAGTTTTGCACACCCATGTTTATCGTGGCTCTGCTCACAATAGCAAGGAGCTGGAAACAACCTAAGTGGCCACCAACAAACGAATGGATAGAGAAACTGTGGTATATTCATACATATCACACAGTGGAATATTACGCTGCATTGAAAAACAAGGAACTCATGCAATTATTAAAAATGGGTAACCCTGGAGGACATTATGCTGAGTGAAGTATCTCAGTCTCAAAAGGACAAATACTGCATGGTGCCACTGTTGTAAAACAGGATTGACCTCGGGGTTGGGGAGAGACTGAGAAAGATGGGATATACTGCATTGAAACAGATAAGGGAGAAAACTGTTTAAAAGGGATATGTGATTAGGTGTTTTTGCCATGACAGGAGTCCAGAGGGAAGTCTGCATAGTGGAGTGGACCTGGGGGGGAAGGTCTGTAAAACAATGAAAGAACTTTTCTTTTACTTTTCCAAGAGGGTAGTGTACTAGAGGGGAGGGTTGGGAGGGAAGAAAAGTGCAACAATGAATGAGTGGAAATCCAAAATCTCTGTAAATTTTCATTGAAATTGATAATAAATTTTTAAAAAGGGAAAAAAATTGTTAAGTTTCTGATTTGGCAGCTTCCCTCCTCCTACAAATATTTATTAGTAGCTTTGAACTCCCACACAGTGAGAAGAAAATGATGCAATCTACAGTTTAGCTTCCTTGAACTAAGAATCCTTTATCTAAGTATAAATCATTCATATAAAAGCCAATTCACTTTTGAAGAGGTGTTGTTATGTGCCACTGAGTTGCTTGCAACTCATAGCAACCCTACATAAAGCAGCTCTGAACCATGCTCTATTTTGTGCCAATTTTATTGTCTCTGACACACCTACCTCCATTACTCAAATCACTGAATCAATCCATCGCATCGAAGGTCTTAATACAATTAAGTCTAAACCTTTATTATACTTTTAAAAAATGCTTAGAATCAATTAGTCCACATAAAATTGACTTAACACTGGAAAACACTCAAAGTTACTATCTTCTACAATTGAGGGTAAGATGGTTAGGGGGAAAGAAAAAACCCACATGTCAAATAAACAGAAAAATGCCTTTAGTATCACTCCAATGCTGTGAAGACTTATCAGGTATCAGAGCAAAAACTACATAAAAGGATTTCTCACAGGATCAATCATGGACACTTGAAATGAATGGTATATTAGGGAGAACAACAAATGCAGTCTCTACAATTCACTTTGATGATAAGATTTTTATCCAGAAATCTATTAAATGGTAAAGTGGTCTTTTCTGAACATTTTCTTAGAAGCTTAGATTTCATATATGTTTACATGTTTAATCATAATTTTGAAATTTGCAGAACATCAAAATATGATGAAACTCTAACAATATATATTCTTAAAAATAAACCAAACCAAATCCATCGCCATCTAGTCAATTCCAACTCATAGTGACCCTATAACAACTGGCCCACTGTTCCCAACGCTTTAAATCCTTATGAGGCAGCATGTCATATCTTTTCCGGATCCCTCACATTTTAGTTAGTAGCTCAGAGTACTGGCCACAAGGGCTCAAATGCACGTCTTTAGTTGAATCTTAAACAAGTAAACCTCTATTATGGAAAAAGTTTTAAAGTATTGTTAGGTGCTATTGAGTCAGATCGGCTTCACAGCACATGCACAATATGAACAATATTGCATGAATAAAACACTATGCCGAAGAAAACCCTGCCCAATCCGAACTTCCCCACAGGGTTTCTGGGCTATAATCTTATGGGAGCATATCACTCGTTCTTTTCTTTCATGGAGCTTCTGGATGTGTTTGAACTGCCAGCCTAACAGTCCACAGCCAACTTCTTTTAACTACTGCACCACCAGAATTTCTTACTTTGGAGTTAGGATTTAGACTTCATTTCATATATTTCATTATCTACTATGCTTATTACTTTTAATTTATAAATTATTACTATCTCAGTTTAAAGTATATACTTTTTCTTTCTTTTTTATTATTATTAATTTTAATGAAAATTTAGATATTTTGGATTTCCATTCATTCATTGTTGCACTTTTGCCCCTGCTCACTCCTCCCCTCCAGTTCATTCTTCTCTTTGAAAAGTAAAATTCTTCTCCCCAAGTCCACTCCACTATGCAGCCTTCATTCTGAACTCACGTCATGACAATAATACCTAATCATATATACCTTTTAAACAGTTCTCTGTCTCATCTGTTTCAATGCAGTATACATAATTTTTTATGCGTCAGTTTAGTTACTTCATTTTTCCCTTCTCAATCCTTTTCTCTTGCTCATAGTAATGTTATTGATATCTCTCAACTTCTAATTCATCTAATACTTCAGTCAGTCCTCACTGAGGCAGGAAAAGAAAAAAATTTCTGACTTCCTTCCCCCTTACATAAACTACTCTACCTTGAAATAAGTCACTGCCTTGGATACCTGAAGCACTGGCTAAGTCCCAAACTCCAAGTCTCATTTGTATAGTCCTTAACTTTGTCTCCACAAGGCACTATCACTATCAAAGCAAATAAACAAACAAAACCAGTGACCCAGTGCCATAACTCCAGAGGTGTTTTTTAGGCCTACAAAGCCCTTGAGTTGCTAAACCTCCTATCCCATTACTAATGAGTCTATTGGACTATGTTATTGTCTCTGTATTTCCTTTCTGATGCTAGCCGACTGCCTTCCTAAAGCTCAAGCTGACCCTAGCTCCCAGAATAAAGAGGACTTAGCTTTTCCCATTGTTTCTTCCAGGGCTGGATTCTGCTCTTGCTCCCTCAGTCCCTTAGCTAAGCAACTGTATAGCATAGCAGATCTGCCTTTGAAAATTATTATGTACTGGTAGGTTCCAACCACTGACCTTTCAGCTAGCAGATAAGCATCTTAACCACTGTGCCACGCCACTTGGTCTAGAATCATGATCTCTGAATACCTTACTGCCAGCCTTTCTTGAGTGGAAATGCTGGTACTGATCAAATGATGTTCTACTTAAAACATTTTTGTGATCTTGCCATTTCATAAGCAGCCTCTAAGGTTGAGTCCCCTTAGTTCTAACTTTCTTTGGGAAACAAGTCTTCACCTAATCAAAGTTGGCTTCTGTCTCTCTGGGGCTCGTGCTGCAACACCCCAACTATAAGAGAAGCGCTTAACTTATTATGTCTTAGTCTTACAAATTTGGCCCCTATTAATATCAGGAAACATGAAAATGAAGGACAATTATTGGCTGGAGTTTTAAAGCCTGAGATAATATTGACAACAAAATCTCTCAGAACAGGAAAAGATCATGAAATTTATACGTATAACATTAGAATCTCAAAAACCAATACTGCAGAAGATGCCATGGCAGATACTGCCCTCAAGTGTTACTTTGCCTGCAAAACAACATGCTGTCTACTCTAGAGACTTTCCTAGTTACAAAAACACCCATGATATTTGTTCTCAGATATGCATTGCTAACCTAAAGATACACTCAGTAGAGACTTTTCTCTGCTGATATTAGCCTTAAAGTAGGAGCTAAGAATGTTCTTCTAACATTACTGACATCTTCTCAGATTTATAGATGAGGATCAATTCCTAACCATAAGCACACATCTAAAAATTTTTATAGAGAGCCTATTATATACTGAGGGAGCTCTTGAGGCCTAATGGGAAGGAGCTGCACTGACAACTCAAAGGCATGCAATTTGAATCCACCAGATTCTGTGCCGGAGAAAGAGAAGCAATCTCCTCCCATGTGATTTATACCTTCCAAAAACCTGCTAGAGGGTCAGCTATGAGTTAATTCCAATTTGCCAGGACATAACAACAACAACATCCTGCAGTAGGCTCTGTTCTAGATGTGGGGGATATAAAACTGAATAGAAGTCTCTGTGTTCGTGGAGTTTAAATTGCAGTGAGAAGAGACAGACAATAATTATGTAAAAGGTTTACTGTTAAGATACTGATAAATACTAAGAAAAAGACATTTATATAAAATGCAAGGACAGAAATTGGGGCCTGCCAAGGTGGAAGAGGTTGCAATTTTGTAGACAGTGACCAGGCCAGGTCATTCCTGAGATGATGGCATTTGAGTAAAGACTTGAAGGAGGTAAAGGAATGAAACTACAGATATGTGGTAGAACGGGATTCCAGGCAGAGGGAATTGCAACTGCAAACATCCTAATATGTAAGCATGCTGGGTGTACTAAGGGCAAGCAAGGAAAATGGTGTAGCTGGAACAGAATAAGTGCAAAAACATGTAGAAGGAGAAAAGGCAAATGAGGTAACATGGTCGGTAGACTGGATACAGCCCCAAGAAACCTATGTAATGATTAGGAAGTATTTTGTATCTCAAAATCTATGTTCATCATTGTCATATTTTGGAGTTGCTACTATACTTTTAAGAAGCTCTTGTAGCATAGCCAATAGCAAGCTGTTAATCCAAAGGCTCTATATATATCTCCTTTGATTCAAATCCACCGGCAGGAGAAAGCAGAGCAGTCTCCTTCCATCATAATTTACAGCCTGAGAACCTGCTAGAGGGTATAGCTATGAGTAACAACCAACCTGCTAGCAGTGAGTTTAATATAATACTCTTGGATGCCACCTGAAGCATCAATAATTTGAACCCACTAGCTGTTCCATGGGAGAAAGATATAGTAGTCTACTTCTGGAAAGATTCACAGTCTTGGAAACTTACTGGAGCAGCATTCTAGTCTGTCCCGTAGGTCTTATTATGAGTAGGAATCAATGGAAGGCAGTAGGTCTGTGATACATTTTTGGAATACAGTCAAGATACTTTATATTACATAGATACAAAACTTTTGGCACATCTCTAGGGAAAGCAATAAACAAAAAATAGTTAACATTGATTATATCTAGACAGGAGAATCAGGCAGCTGGGGAAAAGGAGGAGGGAGAAAGAAGACTCTTAAGCCTTTGAAAGCTTGTTTCATATCTACATATCACCAGTTAAAAAAAAATAAATTGTTCTCACCTTTCTAGGGTCAACCTGTCTGAGTAAAGAATTTTCTCTTCAGAAGAACGTTGGAGAATGGGAAATGATGGCATGGATGAGCTCACCAAATTAATATGATCACCTATTGAAAATGATATACAAATTACTTGATTAAGAAAAGTCTTTTAAAATCTTGAAGCTAAAGTAATATTGTATTTGGAAAACAACGCTACCTACAAATAATCTTTCCTAGAACATACACTTTCCATGTTGTTAGTGTTGTTTAGTTAATTTAGACTAACGGAAACCCCAAATATTTTCATAGTTCATTATTTTTTAAATTAATTATCTAATTTGTGTTTACTGTTTGCCTTCTCAAACCTACACTATACATTCTACATATGCCAAATAGTCTTCTATTGCCCTACAGACTCACTTAAAGACAGAACTACTCTAGTGTTATCTTTAACCCTTCCTTAGCCTGTGACCTAGACTAAATTTTAACTCTCTTATGACTAAGATAATAGTCCCTCATTACCAGAAACATTTGGGCCAGCACTATGACAGCCCTGTCGGACTCTGGACTTTGAAGGTATGTGAATCATGGAAGAATCTCCAAATGCTGAAAAGGAGTTCATGGCAGTTTTCATTTCCAGACCACATAGTTCTGTCACGTTTGTTGTAGATGAGATGCATGATGATTTATTATGAGGCGAAGGACTTCCATCTCCTTCAAAATATCAAAAAGTGTATCACAATGCTAGATAATACATGATAGTGCTATTGGAAATATACAGAAAGTAGTTTCGGACAACAGATGTAAACTTTGCATCGTCACTTTTTCTTTGTTATGTTCAATTACCTCTAGCAGAAAATATTGCAAAGAGACCAAAAGTAGATGCGATAAGTGTACAATAAAGTGTAAATAAAGCTAGTTCATTTGTAGTTAGGGTCTACAGGGTGTACAGCATCATTAAGAGGTTTACATGTATGTACACCCATGTTTATTGCTATGTTACGCACAATAGCAAAGAGATGGAAGCAACCCAAGTGCCCATCAATAAATGAATGGATAAACAAACTATGGTACATTCACACAATAAAATATTAGACAGCACTGAAAAATAAACTCATAAAACATTACACAACATCAGTGAATCTGGAAGACATAATGCTGAAATATCTCAGTCACTAAAGGGCAAATAATACATAACAACACTGTTATAAAATAAGACTTAAATGGGGGATTGAGGGGAAAATAGGACAGAATGGATAGATAATGAACATTGCATTGAAATAGGTGAGGGAAGAACTGTCCAAAAAAGAATATATAATTAAGTATTATATGTATGACAATAATCCGGAACAAGAGGTACACTGCAAAGAGGAGGGTGGAAGGAAGAGGAAGGAAGAAAATGTGCAACAATAAACCAATTTAAAAAACAAAAAGAGGTTTATAGACTGTTGGTTACATAGTGTCCCTGCCATTAAGTAGCTTCCAAGTCTATGGGCAGATAATACATCAAATTAAAATAAATAGGACAACATATACAAAATATACAATAAAAATAATACCTATCTATATATCTGCACACACAAAGGTGTATTGGATAGTATTCACTTAATGAAGATGGTTTTAGGGGGACTTTTTGAGAGGTGACTACTAAGATATATTTCAAAGGACCAGAAGAAAGTAGAATGGCACAAAGATGCTGAGAAGTTCCAGAAATAAAGGAAGATTTGGTGAATGTCAAAAGTGAGAGTGAATATTAAAGGGTATTCTCTTCTAACATGTTTTTTAAAGTCTATTGAAAGCAGCAAGTAATGTTGAAATATTTGAAGAATATTATAACCAGTAAAATAGAACTGAGAATTATGAGAATCCTGCTTTAACTGACAGATAAGGTGAAAGGATGTAAACCAAATCTAATCTCCTAACCCATTATTTAGATATCACCAGAGAATATGATACTCTAGATCTGCATGTTGTCGTTGTGTACCATGGAGTCAGAATCGACTCAGCTGATCCTGTAGTGGATTTTCAGAGGCAGTAAATCAAGTGGGAGGAAATTGCCCATCCTCCTGTAGAGTGGCTAGTGGATTTGACCCTTGTGCCTTTGGATTGGCAGCACAACTCTTTACCACTAAGGCACCAGACTCCCTCCGCGTTATTGTTATTGTTATTGTTATTGTTATTGTTGTTGTTGTTGTTGTTGTTATTAGATGCCATTGAGTTGCATACAATTAATAGCAACCTCATGATCAACAGATATGAACCCTGTCCTATCCTATCCTTTGCCATCCTTATCATTTCAACACACTTGAGCCCATTCACATTAAAGAACTGTATAGCGGTGGCACTTGCTAGCTCCTCATGACCCATTCTGATGAATGTTATGAGATATCAAGATAACTAGTCATGATGTTCTAAATGATAAACACTCAGAAGGAACATGATGTTCACTAACGCAACTGGTCTTGTGATAGATAAGCAGATAGGCTGACAGCAGGATATTTACGAAACCAGGATTCATTAAACTGATTTGGAAAAGTAAAATCAAACTGTTCAAAAAATTAAACAGAAAAATCAGTCTAAGGATTAACTAAAATAAAACAGTTAATAATGATTGTGCTCCAAACAACAGACAAACTAGATTTCTCTTACTAGCACCAGAATTAGGTTTTATGGACCATTTTTGAGACTTCAAACTAATTATCAGTTTAACAGGTGGATTGAAACTTCTTAAGACTTGGGAGGCAGAGGCAATGGTCACAGAATGCTTCACCTATATTCAGTGAAATAAGAAATCAATCCTTACACTTTTCAGCTCCTATTACCTGCAGAAGTCATCATTATTATCAGCTTACTACCACATATATGCCTTTAAAAAACAGCAAGAGTCAAGAATAATGTAATAAAGAAGGTTTAAAATCCATAAATAAGAGCCTCTAAATAACTGAGAGCTAAAGGGATCTGGGGCAGAATAAAACATTCCACATATAAGCTACAAGATGAAAAAAATCTTTACTGAAATATTCCTTCTGTTATTTTCTCACATCACTACTTAACTTACCAGAAATGTAATCATCAAATAAATTTATAAGCTCCTTAAGAGATAGGCTTCATTTTCTATTCTTTGTATTCTAAAGTCTAAGGATTTGTATTCTAAAGTCCAAAGACTCTAAATTCAGTAGAGTACTCTGGTGGCCTAGCAGCAAGAAGCTACACTACAATACCAAAAGCACGCAGGTTAAATACACCAGCTGCTCAGCGAGAAAAAGATGGGAAATCTCTTCCCATGTGATTACATGCCTCTGAAAACTCACTAAAGGGTCAGCTATGAGTATGTTCCAGCTTGATAGTACACAACAACAACAACAAAATACCCATAGGGTCAGCTATGGGTCAGTTCCAACTCGACGTACACAATAACAAAGAATTCATAAGCAATCAGAATATTGATTAATTGATTTCCCATTTCACTAACAATTATTTGGAACTCTATTTTGCATATTGTTTCTATTAAAAAAACTAAATTCTTATAATCTAAGAATTATTTTATAATTAGATCTCAAAAATGCAAACGATCAACACCCAGCAAGAACCTTCACTCCACTATACATTGTACAGGTAGATGGATAAGAGGATAGAAAAATGGAGAGGCAGTTGGGACAGATAGGTGGGTGGACAGGTGAGTAGGCAAATCAACTATAGAGATAGATATATTTAGCCTTATCTTTGAAATTGTTTTAGTAACATCTCATTGCAGATTTTCCAGTGATCCTAACAATCACTCATTGCCTTTTACTCTCAACACACACATTTAAAAATGTTTATTAATCCTCAACTCATTGCTGTTAAGTCAAAACTGATTCACAGCTGGCACTCCAGGGGGTTTTCAGGAGATCATTGATCACATGGGAGGAAACTGCCCATCTTTCTCCATGAGCACTGGTGAATTCAAACTACCAGAGACATGCAGGCCTTGCAGTAGTTCATCTCCCTGCAGGCTAGGCTGCCAGAGCTCCCTCTGAAACTACAGAGGAGGCACCACTGGAAATAACCAGGTATACACTTTACCCAAACCAAACCCACTGCGATTGAGATGATTCCTTCTCATAGCAGCCTCAAACTGTTTCATAGCATTTGTAAGGTTGTGACTCTTTACAGAAGCAGACTGTTAGTTCTTTCTCCTTTGGTATGGCTGGAGCATTCAAATGCTCAATGCTTTTTTGTTAGCAGTTGAGTGTCTTAATCACTGTACCACTAGGTCTCACTGGTACACTCTTAGACCTAGCAAACGGACAGTCAGCCACAGATAATTATTTTGAATAAAATTTTTCATGAAATATTCATTTGGTTATTTTTTTCCCTAAAGAGTTAATTTGTATATGTTAGGTTACTATTTATATTTAATAAGAAGCCCTGGTGGCCACTAAGTGGAAGGTCCTCAGTTGGAATCCATCAGCCACTCCATGGGAGAAAGGAAGGCTACTCCTGTAAAGATTTAGAGCCTTGGATCTGATGGAGGGTCACTTTGAGTCAGAATCAACAGATAGCAGTGGAACTGGATTTACATAAAAATTTTGTTCATCTCTGACTTTCAGTTCTCAAAATTCAGTGTCTCATGCTATTTTCTTACCTGGAAATAGTTAATAATATTTTAATTCTAAAGAAATTTACCTGGCCCACTCTAACACAAGAAAAGTTTGACAAAGGCATTTGAGCTTGTCTCAGTAATGAGCAAAGAAATTCAAGACGTTACAGAAATTATGGGCAATTCACATCGTAAGCATAAAAAGGCCGAGTTGATAACTTGTAGGTTCACTTCTGTAGGGATGTGCTGTAGTACACATACAGTAAATGCATACACAACTGAAATAAAATAAGATTCTTCCTTTGCTGGAGAACTTTAGTGAGATTGATTTTAAATGTGTCGGGGGATTAGGCAAGAGAAGATGATTTATCAGATTAGATGAGCTCAGGAGGAATGCTCAAGAAATAAAAGAGAAAAACTAATCAACATTCAAAAGAACTGTAAGTTCATGGAGTAATGATATAAGCAATTAAGAAATGCCCATGCTGTTCAGCCCTTTAAATCAACTCCTAGAGGCAAAGATAGAGCTGCAAATAAAGATTTTGCAAATAAAGATTTTATAGTAATTAACACTAGTTTAGTTTAGTTAACAGTTGTTAGTGACAAGGTGAGGTTCAAATGTTCTGAAGGAGATTTCTCCTTGAATTGAAAGATGTATTTCATAACTATAACCAGATCATATAAGCCAGTATTTGTCTTGTATGTAGAACACAAATCACATCCATTAGAATCATCTGAAGCATTACTAAGAGACACATTTCCAAGCTTTATCTAAGACCTATCAAAATCAGAAAGGGAAATGAAGAGATCATAAACATCTGTATTTATAATAAGAATCTAGATGAAGGACACTCAAGATTAAGGTCTTTCATATAAAGTATCTGTAATTATATGTTAGAGTAAGGGAAACAGAGTATTTCTTCTCTACTCCTAATTTTCTTTCTATTGTATTCTTATTTCCTAAAGATTTCTGTTTCTATAGTCTCAGTAATCCCAGCAAACATCCATTTATTCTTCCTTCTAAGACCGAATTTGAGACACTCTTTTCCCACTCTCTAGATTCCAACCCACTCAAAACCACAGGAACAAAAGCTTTCTCTGTATTGGAAATAATCTAATATATATGTGTGTGTGTGTGTGTTGCATATGTAAACCAAATCATATATATATATAATATATACGAACCAAATCTGAATTAAATAAATTTGGTATCCTATGAACAATTTCATTTTTAATTCATTTATATGGATTTAGGGATTAAACACTATTTAATAAGTCATATTATTTAAAAAAGACAAAACAGATCTGATCCCGACCCACAGACAATACCTTGCCTACTTGAGTAGTTTCTTTCAAGGTCATGTTGCAGGAGTCGACCAGGAAATGATGAAGTTTCTTTATTTAGCCTTAATTCAACCTAAAAGAAAAGTATTTAATAAAAACAATTTGTAGAAAAATTTAACAATAAAAAATTAAGATAATGATAAAATATCACACAATAATTAATATAACATGGATAAAGCTTAAAAAGATTCTGATAAGTGAAAAAGCCAAACAAAAAGGCTACATATTTTGTGATTCTATTGGTATAAAATGTCCAGGACAGGTAAATCCATAATAGCAGAAATTATGAGTGCAGGAAGTGGGGAAGACAGGAGGATGAGAAGAGACCACTTAACATGTGTGAGGATTCTGTTTGGAATGGTGTACTACTTAGTGGTGATGGTTGCAAACCAATTGAATGTATTTTATGGCATTGACTTATGCACTTTTGTTTACCTAACATGGTAAATTCAGTTTATTTTACTACACACAAAACAAAATTAAAGCCAATTTCATAAAGTCAGCTGAAAGCATTCTTCAGTCTGAGGCATTTCTCATCTCTATGCTGAGTATCCCAAATGCAACACAGTCATGCCTTAAACACACAGTAAAAGTAAATTCTGCTGAAAAGTCACACTGTTTGGATCACTAGAATTCCTTTAAATGTTCAATTATAACAATAAATGGCATGTTTCTAACTTTCTTAGTAGCAATTCCACTAAGTTAATTTTAAGTCATTATCTGGTGGTTGTTCTTGTTGTTGCTGTGTGTCGTGGAGTTGGAACCAATCCACAGCTGACCCTCCAGTGGATTTTCAGAAGCAGTTAATTGCACAGGAGAAGACTGTCAATCCTTCTCCCGCGGAACAGCTGATAGTTTGCAACTGCATGCCTTCAGAATTATATCACAGTACATTAACTTTTTAGGATTAAACACATAAGCACACAGCCTAACCACAAAAATAGTCTTTTTATTGTGAAAGAATTATGATACTCCTGATTCATATGTATTATAAACACTAGAACCGTATTTGTATTATATCATTTAATTAATTATATAAACAAAAAGTATTTTCTCAAATCATATGTCATACATAAGAAAAATGAATGGTTTAGAAAAAATTCGGATGAGGCATATAGTTCCTAAAAAAGAGTGGGAGTTCTGGTGGTCTAGTGCTTAGGAGGCATCCTGCCAACGCAAAGCACTCGGGTCAAATCCAGCAACTACCGCTCCATGGGGGGAAAAAACATGGCAATATAATTCTAGTATGATTTACAGCTTCTGAAAACCTGCCGGAGGATCTACTATGAGTTGTTTGCAATTCGATCGCAAATAACAATAACAAATGGTCAAAAAAAAGTAGGACTTGTCCACTAAAAATAGTTAGCGAAGCTTTCGGAGAAATTTCGCTTACCCACTCATAATAAGGATTATTTCCTTCATCTAGCTAATAATTATCTATTAAAAATAATCAAAATAGTTTACTTTCCAAATTTTTTCCATTTCCATAGCACATAGGTGGTATAGCCCTGGTCTGTCAATTTGCTATACAAAGGTAACTCGTGGTTGCTGTTATGCTGAACACTGTGACACTGAGGTGCCAAATGCGATAATGGTCACCCATGGAGGACAGTGTTTGGTGGAGCTCCCTGATTAAAACAAGCTTGGAAGCAGGAGTGGCATCCACTTCCAAAACAGCTTGCCTCAGAAAACCCTATGAACTTGGAGAAACGAAGGAAGTTATACAAGTGTTCATAGTCTTTCTTTCATAGGGTCGCTATGAGTCGCCTACGACTCTATGGCATTTAACAACAACCACCACCAATTGTATAATTAACTGCTGTTTGACTAATGATAACATTATATCCACCTCCTCAGGCCCTTCTTTGCTCAAGTCATGCTGCTGTCTATAAACTTTACTTTCTAGTTTCTTCAATAAAATCTATTTAACAATTTATAGGAAACAACTAGATTGATGGCTGGAGATGCCCAGTTTGGTCAAACAAGGAAAAATCATTTTGTGCCTTGAGACACAGTAATTTGTGAAATGTGCTTGATTGCTGAGGTGAGAAAGGAGGGGAAAAAATTGTGTATTTCAAAATCTCGAACGACTAATCAAAGGCTCGAAATCCATTCAATATCAGGGCTATTTCAGGAAAATTGAGAAAGAAAATCTCGGGTTTATAGTTCACTTATAAATAATAGTAAAGCTTACTTTTTTTTCAAAAAACTTGTTGTATGCCATCGAATCAGAACCAGATCCGACTGGCACAGGAGGAGATTGCCCCGCCTTCTCAGAGAAGCACCTGGTGGATTCAAACTGCACGCCTTCGGGATTGCAGCGCCGCTTCTTTCCACTAGGCCACCAGATCTCCCTTAAGCGTACATATTTTTAACTATTCTTTTCTCCCCTGACTTTAAGCAGAATGTGTGCATATGTTCCTTCAAGTCACCATATTTTATTCATTCTGTAGTATCATCAGATGTAAGATATCCCATCATTTTATCCACAGCTGAAAAAAGTTTATCCCATTTACGTTATAATGTAGCATCAATCTAAGGATCCAGAAATTTTTAAATGTCAAAAAAACTTACCTCTTAAAATTTATGTAATAAAATTTCTTTTTTAAAAAAAGGTTAATTTTAGCTTTATGCAAGTGGAAAATAAGAATTAGCTTTACTTTGGAAGGCAGAGTAAAATACAGTTAAAATTCCTAGTTTAGAATCTACTCTTAAAATCATGCTATTTGTGAAGTCAGAAAATAATTTTGTCTTTTATTTAAATAAAAATATGCTAAGTCCTACCTTGTTTTTTTCAGGAAGTGAAGATGTCTGAATCACCAGATGAAGTCCACAGTTCACCTGCAATTTTTAAATTAAGGCAGGAAATTTTGTTTTTTATTTAAACAAATACACAGAGAAATAGAGACAAGGAGTCTTGGTAATGTGATTGTTAAAGCACCTAGCTTGAAGGTGTGCAGTTGGAGGATGGCTGGGATAAACAAGCAGCAGACTGCTTCAATAAAGCTACATCCTTGGAAACCATATAAGGCAATTCTACTTGATCCTACAGCGTCTTTAGGAGTCAGAAGTCAAAATCGTTTTGACAGCAATGGGTTTTAAACACATACAAAAAAAATAATCCCGATAAAGGATACACTGAGAATGAGGATAAAACAGGTGCTTGCTTTTGTTTGTTTCCAGAAAATGAATATGTTTTAAGGATTTGCTGAAAACAAAAATTTATAACTCATAAAAATATTTCACTGGTTCATTTTCCAAAATGTCGGCAGTAATTTTATCCTGTTACTCCCAGCCTTTTTAATCTTGCTTTTTCAGATCTAAACACCTATCTCAATGAACCAGGTGAAGGAAATGGTAGTGGTTGTTAATGATAAATTCTTCTCTCAATTAAATAAAAAGTGATTAAAAGATTTCAATGAACCTGAGCTTTTCACAGCAGACCAGCTCCACCTTCCGGGGGGCCTAGATCCCGGACAAGATCTTAAATACCTATCATATAATACCCCCAAGTGCCTTGGGCCAATAGTCAGACAATAGCATGTGTAGACCAAGAAGGGGTCTATGTCTCAATAATACAATCCATCTTCTAGACAAAGGCGCCACTCAGGAAAGACGATAGAAATGGAAGGAAAGACAAAGTGGAGATGCAACCTACGTTGTTCGCAGCCCGGCCAGAAACAGAGCGGTATTTCCCAGGAATCATGGCAGGAGACAATTCAGAATCTGCAAGATCTGTCTTCGAGGTGACGCTACAGCGGAGGCTCAGAGACAGAAAAGGGTCATCTCCGAGGCAACCCGTTCAGGAGTTACCATGGAAACTGCCATTTCCGGTCTGGTCCTCTCCCAAATCCATTGGACAACGCAGTCGTTGTCATTTCTGTTTGTATTTGTGTGAGCCCTGTGCATAAGCACTTCCTCGTCTTATGCTTCTTGGCTTGGAAAAGTAGAGCAAGAGTATTGAGAATAGGATAAGATGGGGAAGAGGCCGGCCACACCGGTAGCTATGACAACCAGCACTTCCGGTCCGCTCCTTTTTCGGGCCTACCGCGGTGCAATCCGCGGGAAATTTGTATCCCGCCACTTTCCGGAGGTCACTTGCTTTCTGAAAGCATTAAAAGGAGTAGAAGCAAGATAGTTAAGAATTGGGCACTCGGTTCTCTGGGGCCCCAGTTCGGCACTCTTGCAGACCAGAATGAAGAAAAGGAAATGGGCCGCAGTACCCGCCTCGCCGAGCTGCCACAAGCAGCGAGCCTGTCCGGGGGAACCCAGCCTTCTTAACAGGAAAGATTGTTGGCTTGCCTGCCCGAGGCGTGGCTGGCCAGTGCGGCAAGTTTCCCAAGCCTAGGTAGTCATCTAGCTGTTTCAGTTGCCCAAGGACCGAGTTGTACAGCTCCTGTGAGGCCACTTTAGGCGTGATCACCACGCGAATTAGTGTGGCGGCAATGACCGCTCAGTCATCACGTCTGACCACTTCGCCCCAGCCTGTTTTGAAAACACCAAAACTTTAGCCAGAAGAACCTGCACTTCTTCCAGCGCCTGAAGTTCTTGGAGAGTGTCATG